AAAACGTTATGAGATTTTTTGTGTGATGATGTGTCACAATGTATTTAATGTGTGGCCCGAAGCAACTCTTCTTCTTCCAGTGTGGCCCGGAGATGCCAAAAGGTTGGACATCCCTGGTTTAGGGTCCGATGGCTGATACAGAGCCAAGTGAGATGGAATTGCTGGCATTGGGCCCAGCGGCCACACGGCCACTGCAAGGGACATCAACACTTGGAGGACTCAGTTGAGGCCAGGAAACCATGTCTTCAGCAAATGTCAAGGAGTGACTCTAAAGCTAACAGAGGACAGCAACAAGGCAGGGTAGGGGGTTGTAGGAAAAGTTAAGTGAGTTTCAAAACAAAACGGAGCTTCTCTCCGCTAAGGATGACAGAGCAGTGTTGCGGAAGTAGCAGTAAGGATTTGGGGTTAGCGATGTCAATTTCTGGGAAAATAGGCAGGGCCACCACTCAGCCTGAAACCGAGGGGAGACCCAAGTCCCCACAAAGACCAGCAAAAATAAATAAATGGATAGATAGATAAACTTTAAAGGAGAAAATCCCTTACCCTTATAAAAAGGCTAGAGGCATAGAGTTCGCTATGAAACAAGTCTTCCAGAGGACCCAGTAGAAAGGATGCTTGTGAAATGGCTTGAAGCAATGATGATAGTTAATACCTGCCGTGTATATCAGGTTTCCTTCCACATTTCAGTACTTCATTTCCTTTTTACAAACAGGACAGTTATTACCATCCCCATTTCATAACAGAGAACCTGAGGCTTAGAGATGTAAAGTGCCCTGACCAAAGGTACGTTAGTTCATTTAAGTAGCAAAACCAGGACATTGTGGGGATAAAAATAATTTTTCCCCGCGGGCCTGCGAACCAGGCATTCACAGTTCGATTCCCAGTCAGGGCACATGCCTGGGTTGCAGGCCGGTTCCCTGCAGGCCAGTTCCCAGCAGGGGACGCACAAAAGGCAACCATACATTGACGTTTCTCTTCCTCTCTCCTTTCCTTCCCCTCTAAAGATAAATAAATAAAATCTTTAAAAAAATAATAATTTTTCCTCCTATGCTTTTAAGTTCCTTTGGCTGGACTAATCAAATTAGCATGGGATAGATTCACAGGAGAAAATGACCAAATTTATTACCGATGTGCACGAGGAGGTTCCATAAGACTATGAAATCTGAGGACAAATCTGGCCCGAAGGGCAGGGGTGTTTGGGGGACTTCAAAGACCAGGAAGGCAATTCATGTGGAGATGGAAAAGCAAATGTTTGGTAAATAAATGTTTGCTGGGTCATCTTTAACAATGTGCCCGCAGAGAGAACTTTGATCTGACAGGGTTTTGCTAGGTTCCTCCCTAACACTCTAGTTTATATTAAACTAGCCATCTGAAGATATCTCCCTTCCTGGGGCAGGTCCTCTATCTGAATTCTTTTAGACAGTTAAGGGGAAGGTCAAAGGTTCTTCCTAAGTCTAAGTTTCTGGAAAATAATCAGCTTAAAATAGTCGATACCCCAAAAGGCACATTTTTGAATGTGGCAAACTCTGCTTTCCCTTGACATCGAGGCAAGACATCTATCTGTTCCCAAAGCCAGAATATTTTTTTAAAGATTTTATTTATTTTTAGAGAGAAGGGATGGGAAGGAGAAAGAGTGGGAGAGAAACATCAGTGTGTGGTTGTCTCTCAGTGTCCCTTAATGGGGACCTGGCCTGCAATTCAGGCATGTACCCTGAGTGGGAATCAAACCAGCAACCCCTTGCTTCATAGGCCCATGCTCAATCCACTGAGCTATGTCAGCCAGGGCCCAAAGCCAGAATCTTTACTGCGTGATATAAGACCTCATCTTTTTCATACCCGATTAATCTATGACATTAATGGAGAAAAGATATTTTGCAAATACACAGGGGTTCTTATAGCTTTTGTATTATTGATCCGAAGTGGAAATAAAATAAGCAGAAAAACAAATTTGACAACACAACTGAAATGGACTGATTTGTGTAGGATAAGGTTGTGTCTTAATCAGCAAATGTTTATTCATGGCCTACTATCAGCATAGTGTTAAGGATAAAAAAGAGATGGAGAAAGAGTCTACCTTTAAGTTAATTTGTGTCTTTTTTCATCCTTTATTTTGAAGAAGTCTACCTTTCAGAATAATTTTTTAATTTTTTCAAATTTAAATTATTTTATTGTCGTTCAGTTACAGTCGTCTGGATTTTCTCCCCACCCCTCCCCCACAAACCCACCTCCCTTCCTTGCTTCCACCCTCCCCCTTGGTTTTGTCCGTGTGTCCTTTATAGTAGTTCCTTTCAGAACAATTTAAAAACTGTTTCCTGGGGAATAATACATTATTCACCACTGTTGTGGGTGCTTTTGGAGATAAAGCAAAAGTAAGGCTGAACGGGCTGGGCCTCACCTCTGCTTTGGGCAGTGTCGGTACTATATTCTTGTTGGAGACGAAGAAACTTGAAGACTAAGAAGTCAGAGGTGTTTACCTGTTAGATGGTGGAGTTAGAGCCCTCCCCCCCCCCCCCCCCCCCCCCCACCTAAGCTTCTGACGGAAATGCCAGGCTCATTCCAATCACACTTGAAGCAAATATCCTTTTTCTGGAAAGTGTTGACCTCTTGCAGCTTCTCGCTGACTTAAAAAATCCTAGGAAGGCATTTGTCCTCAGATGTCTCCCAACTTTCAAAGATGAATCGATACCCAGAGTCCGGAAACAGGTTGGAATGTCATTGATGCCACTGGATTATGCGCTTAAAAAGGGTTAAAATGACAAATTTTATGTTTCTTTAATTTGATTTTTGTGTGTATTATATCTCAATAAAGCTTTTTGAAAAAAAAAAAAAAACAAAAACAAAGCCAAGTGGGTTGGACTTGTTAAACTCAAGTCCCAGACCTGAATTGTAAATATACTTCTGGCTGGAAAGCCAGAGAGCAGGAACATCAGAATTATAATCCATTCCCCATATATTCACTGGAATTAGGCTACTCTACTCAAAATGTTGGAAGGGCCCTGACTGGTGCGGCTCAGTGGATTGAGCACCAGTTTGCAAATCAAAGAGTTATCAGTACGATTCCCACTCAGGGCACATACCTGGGTTGTGGGTCGGGTCTCCAGTAGGAGACCAGTGAGAGACAACCACATACTGATGCTTCTCTCCCTCTCTTTCTCCCTCCCTTCTCTTCTGTCTAAAAATAAATAAATAAATAAATAATTTTTTAAGTTGGAAGGAGGAGGAATAATCGGTGTCCTTTGCCAACAGATTGCTTGAATCTGTGCTTGAGAAAAACATTCACGAACTCCCTCTCCAAAGTGGCAGTAGTTCACTTGGGCAGTTTTTTTTTTCGTTTGTTTACATGTTATTATGGAAAAAGTCAAATATGTAGAAAAGCAGACATAATAGTATAACCACACAGCTTCAACAGTTATCAATTCATGGCCAGGTTTGTTTCATCTACCCATTTTTCCCCATCCTGTATTAATGTGAAGCAATTGCCATCCATTCCATCATTTCATTGGTAAATACCTCAGTATGACTAAAAGATAAGAATGCTTTTACACACACACACACACACACACACACACACACGCACCCCGTTATCACAATTTAAAATTTAACAATGGCTATGTGCATCAACAGAAGAGCGGATAAACAAAATAAAGTATTACATACAATGGAATGTTATTCAGCCTTTTTCTTTTTTTAAATTGTTTTATTGTTCAAGTACAGTTGTCTGCATTTACCCCCCACCACTCCCCGCCAATCCAGGCCATCCCTACCTCCCTCCCCTGATTCCATGCCCCCCTTTGTTTTGTCCATGTGTCCTTTGTAGTTGTTCCTGCAAATCGTTCCCCTCTTCCCCTGTTATCCCCTCCCACCTCCCCTCTGGTTACTATCAGATTGTTCTTAATGTCAGCGTCTCTGGTTATATTCTGCTTGCTTATTTGTTTTGTTGTTTAGTTTTCTGTTAAAGTTGAGATCATATGGTATTTGTCTTTCACTGCCTGGCCTATTTCACTTAGCATAATGCTCTTCAGTTCCATGCAAGCTTATTCAGCCTTTTTAAAGGTAGCCTTTCTTAAGGCAGAATTTTAAAGAAATTCTGACACATTCTACAACATGAGTGAACCTCGAGGACGTTTGGTAAGTGAACTAAGAAAGACAAATACGGTACAATTCCATTAAATGAGGTTGCTGAAGTAATCAAACTCATACAGAAAGTAGCTGGATTGCCAAGGGCTGGGGGGAAGGGAGAATGAGTTGTTTAATGGGCACAGAATTTCAGTTTTGCAACATGAAGAGGGAGACTGGTTGCATAACAAACTAAGTGTACTTGACACTACTGAACTGTACACTTACAAATGGTTAAGATGGTAGAGTTTGTGTATCCTACCACGCTGAAAAAAAATTTTTTTAATTTAACAATTCCCTAATTTCATGATCTTTCCAGTGCTCGAATTTCCAATCCTTATGAAATCATACATTTTTCCCAATGTTTGTTTGACTTAGGACCCAAATAAAATTCACAAATGGCCATGCCTTATGTCTCTTAAATTGTTTTTAATCTATAAGGTTCCCCTTCTCCCCTTCCTTGCAATTTATTTGAATAAACAATGTCATTTGCCCTGTGGTTTCTCACAGCCTAGATTGTGCTGCCTGTATCCCGTGTTCCTCCTTTAACACTTTCCCTCCATCCTCCGCATTCCCTGCAAATTGGTAGTTGGACCTAGATGGCCCGGGCTAGTTTTGATTGCGTTTGAGGAGGAGGCTAAAGATCCAACCGCATGTGCCTGCCCAGCTGAAAAAGCGAAGCTAAGTCACCAGCGAAGCTGCTTAGAGCGAGAAAGATACCCGTTACACGCCTACGTCAATCACTACAAGGGCGGAGTTGGAGGGAAAGGGGCGGGGCACAACTGCGTGGGAAAACGTCTTTGTCCGCTTTCCACGCGCGTAAGCGTTACGGAAACGGCGGGGCGGGGCCTTTGGCCAGAAGTGACGCACGCACGGCCGGCGTCCGAGTTGCCATAGAGGCGGAGAGAAGGATAGACTAGCTGTTCTGGGGTCGCACTTCCGGCCATCTCCCGGGGAGACGTGCTTTGTGGAGTCGGGAGTAGGTGGCAGCCGCTGGAGTCTCCGGTGACTGGGACCGCGGCGGCGGCCCCGCGGGCGGGATGTTCCGGGGTTTCAGTACTTGGTTTGGCCAGCAGCAGCCGGCAGGGGGTGGCCGCCAGTCCGAGGGAGACGAGCAGCTTGAGCGAGACGCTGCACCCGAGCCGCACTCCGAGGCGGTGGCGGAGTCGGCTGAGAAGGAGCTCCTTCACCAGGCCAAAGGCCTGGGCGGTGAGTCTCCCCCGGGACCAGCGAGTGTCGGGAGTGCCCGCAACCTTCGGTGTCACCCGCCTGGGGCGCGGCCCAACGTGGTCTGTGTTGTGGGTTGGGGGAAGGAAGGTGTGTTCGTCGGTCGGTCCTCTCCGGACGACAGAGATTGGTGAGGAACTGGGCAAATCCAGGCTTCATCTAGCAGTCAGATCCTGTGCCTAAAGTTCCTGGTGACATGTCACTCTTTTTTTTTTTTTTTAATTGACTTGAGACAGAGACAGAGAAACATCTATTTGTTGTCCCACTCATCTATGAAATCATTGGTTGATTCTTGCTTGTGCCCTGAGTGGGGATTCAACCCCACAACCTTGGCGTGTTGGGACGATGCTCTAACCAGCTTAGCTGTCCGACCAGGGCGACATGTCACTGTTTACAAAGTGTGAGCATTAGGGGCAAAGCCGCCGTCCTCTTTAGGTTTGACATGGAATCTTTTTTCTTCAATCAACCAACTTGCACTTCCACAACTTCCCACCCGAAGGACAGGGCCCTTTCAGGAGCCTGAGTAGGTTGAAAAAAGTGACTTTTTGCCCTTAGGGAAGAATATATTGTCGGAAGTAAATAGAGGAAGTTACCAAAGGCCTTCCTTGGTCAGGCTCTACTTCTTTCTATAGGACCTTTTCCTTAAGGCAAGAAAGTAGCTGCCATTTCCCCCCTTTACTGTGCAAATCTCAGTACTAGGTGTTTTACGAATGATATCTCGTTTTATCTGTTAAACAGAGTTGGAACAGCATGAGTTGGAACAGCAAGCCCAGAGTGCTTGCCCTAAGTAACAATCATAGTAAGTGGGAGTGGTGGAATTTGAACCTAGATCTGTCTAATTTCAAAGCCCGTGTTCTCTCTGAGTTTACTGTCTAGTTTAGGGAGCACAGTGAAAAAGTAGGCTTGAAGTCTAAATACGTGCTGTAGTAATTCTGATTTTAGAGAGACCTTGGCGGGCTTAAATAGTGGAAGAAAACCCCTCTGAAAACGTAGGCCCTAAAGCAGACAGCACTGTGAGTGAGAGAAGGTAGATGTTAAATTGAGCAAGCATTTGCAGAGGATCTGCTGCAAGACAGAGAGAGCACTAGGGGAGACGAGCCTGAGAGTGGAGGAACACGTATTTGAATGAGAAAGGCTCTAACCTTCAAAAAGTTTACTTTCAGGTGGAAGGGCAGAAAAAAGACAACCTGAAATCAAGGTAGTGTGTAATATCCGCCCGACATCCCTAAAACAGTGCACAAGAGAAATAAAACTAAGCATTGTGTAATAAGATTACTAAACAGGGAATGACTGTTTCCTGCGTAGAAAATCAGGAAGAGCTTGGACTATTGGAGAGATGTGAGGAGATGAATTTGACCAGAGCAGAGAAGCTATGTTAGGTAGCAGGGATAGATAAAGGTTAGGAAAAGTTGGCTATGGGGATTTTACCCAACTTCATACACTATACAGAACAGTTTTTGTTTATCTTCAGGAGGGTATCAAAACTGGCTTCTGAAAACTTTGCGAGGGCTTTATTGAAACCTCATGTTTGTATTTATTTTTTAAAGATTTTATTTACTTATTTTTAGAGAGAGGGGGAGAAACATCAACATGTTGTTGTCTCTTGTGTGCCCCCCACCGGAGACCTGGCCTGCATGTGCCCTGACTGGGAATTGAACCAGTGACCCTTTGGTTCACAGGCTGCGGCACTCAATCCACTGAGCCACACCAGCCAGGGCTGAATATTTTAAAATAAACATGTATTTGACATGGATGTCTACTTCAGAGTTTAATGCTGTAATCTCTTTTCTGACTGGGCTCTCCTGATATTTGGGGAAGCTAAGGTTAGATGGAAGTACCTCTACCCACTTCCCACGCCCACATACGTGTTGCCAATTTACAGTTTCCAAATAAATGCAAGCTCTTTGTAGCTCTGCTGTTTATGTGATTTTAAAAAGATATAAAGGTTTTAGTTTATACACAAACCTTCAGAAAGACTAGATCAGTTTTTTATTTCTATGTATTGATCATAAGAGGTGTGTTATCTTTAAAAAGACACATCTGTAAGCCCTGGCTGATGTAGCTCAGTGGATTGAGTGCAGGCCTGCGAACCAAACAGTCTAGGTTAGATTCCCGGTCCGGGCACATTCCTGGGTTGCAGGCCAGTTCCCTGCAGGCCAATTCCTAGCAGGGGACGCACGAAAGGCAAGCATACATTGATGTTTCTCTCCCTCTCTCCTTCCCTTTCCCTCTAAAGAGAAATAAATAAAATCTTTTTAAAAACTCTTAAAAAATAAAATAAAATAAAAAGACACATCTGTGTTTTGAAAACTGAAATTAAACATCTCTGAGCCTGGCACCCATTAAGTAGAGTAGTTTCTTTAGCCTTTTAAAACCTATGTGAAGCCCTGGCTGGTATAGCTCAGTGGATTGAGCACGGGCCTTTGAACCTAACAACTGCAGTTCGATTCCCAGTTAGGGTACATGCCTGGGTTGCAGGCCAGTTCCCAGCAGGGCCCTCAACTAGAGGCAGCCATCCATTGATATTTCTCTCCCTCCTTCCCTTCTTCTCTAAAGATAAATAAATAAAATCTTTTTTAAAAGTTTAAAAAGAGAAATAAAATCTACGTGGAATCTCTTAGGAGCCCCATTTGTTCTGTAAACATTTGTTGAGTGCCTCCCTTCAAACTTGGACCCTAAATACTTCTGCTTCATGATGACCTATTTGTAAATTGAGGCAACTCACCAGTTACAAGGAGTGCACACCCAGGCATTGCCTTTACCAAAACCAAATCTTCCCATCCTTGGCCCTCCCTCTTGGTAAATTTAGGACTTCCTCTGGTCACCTGCTTCGGAAGAGGACAGTTTATAAGCCAACTCACTAAAGAACTTCTCCTCACCTCTTTGTAGGCCTCATGTCTCAAAGTAACGTCTTATTCATAAATTGGTTGTGTGGTTTTGTTAAAGTCAAGCAAATTAGATCTTTATCTGTACTCTCTTTAAAAAAAAAAAGTACCTCTGAGAGTATGAAATATCTGAGTTCTACGCATAGTTTAAGTAAGTGGGAGGTGGGCAGACGTGAGCCTTGGCTTTTTCAAAACCCGTCCTAAGGCCAGTCCATGCCCAGGGATTAGAGGAAGGGCACCTCCTCTTCCATCTCCTTTAAAAAGTGCTATTAATATTTGTAGTAGAACTGTGATCATTAGGCCACACCTCCTTTTCTCTAGGGAAAGTGCATTTCAAGTTCTAGATACCTAACTTGATTAGTTTACAACTAAGAGGGCTCCAAAAGTTAGTGTTTACACAGGGAAATGCATGTCGTCTTTGACATAAAAGTGAAATCCCCAAATCAGTTCTGATGACAAACCCAGCTTTTACCATGCGGAGGGCCGTGCAAGTGGTCAAGAGTTGGATCCCATGGTTTATGAACAATACAAAAAACTGGAGAGTTTAGTTTGAAAAAGAAACTTAGGAGCACTGCTTAAAATTCTGACATACTTTCGGGTTTTTGTGGGGTTTTTTTTTTTAAGAAAAAAGAAAAGTCATTTTATGTTACTTAAGGGGACAGATCTTAGTCTGAAAGGTACAAATGACAAGTTTTCTGAATTAGAGATGGATAACAGTAATCATTTGCTGACTTCGAAGTCATGTGCTCACCATCTCTGGAAGTGGGACTACCTGAACTGGAGGTTGAATCAGGCAACCTCTATAGCCCCTTCCAACATAAAGATTCTAAAATTGTATGAAATCTGGCATTTAAAAAAATTAACTGTTGTTTTCATAAGAATGTTAATGTTCTAAGGCTCATACATGCCTTAAAAACCACTACCTAATGCCCCGGTCAGTGTGGCTCAGTTGGTTGGACCATCATCCCATACACCGAAAGGTAAGGGGTTTCATTCCCAGTCCAGGCATATACCTAGGTTGCAGGTTTGAAGCCTGGTCGGGGCATTTTTGGGAGGCAACCAATTGATGTCTCTCTCTCTCTCTCTCTCTCTCTCTCTCTCTCTCTCTCTCTCTCCTCCCTTCCTCTCTTTCTAAAGTCAGTGAACATATTTTTTAAAAAAAACCACTCTGATTATTTTCCCATTCTAACAGCAAGTCTTAAACTACCTTTCTCTGTTGACCGTGGTAAATTTATGCTTTTTCTTACCTCTGAGAACCTTCCCACTTTCCTCTACCCTTATCATGCCATTCAGTTCTGCAGGCTCTTATCACTTGCTCAGCCGACATGAGGCAGGATGAGACGGGGGCACAAGCTTGCCATGTAGAGGCAGATAGCCTGTGCTTAAGTTCCTTGCACTAGTTACCGTCTTTATTGTGATATCATTCACAGACTACCCACAAACAGAGGTTTAATGAGAAGACCTTGATTGTTTGTGTTCAGTGTTCCCCAAACACCCCAGGTTTGACGAGTACCCATCAAAACTGGGGTTTCTTTGGCAAGGCGGAAGGGGATGGGCTGTGGGCTAGGCAGTCAGTGGGGTAGGTCTGCCCCTGTCGTAATGGACAAATAATTTATCCTCTGTGAACCTTGGCATCCCTATCTGTAAACTGAGCAGATTATACTTACTCTTCCCGGGATGGTCATGAGACTAAAATGACATAATGAAATAAAGATACGAGAATGGCTACCTTCAGTGTTTGTGATCCGGCCCCTCCTTTCCTAGGGTTTTAGAGGCATGCTCACTTGCAGATGTTTTACTTCCTTTTTTTCCTTGTTCCAGACCCTCTCTTGTGCCTAAGTTCTTGAAGTGGACATTGTACTCCTGTTACTTCCTGTTAACTCTTACCTTAGTCTCGATGTTTTTCCAACGACGTAATAAAAACTGTCTTTAACTTGGTGTCAAATGATCTCTTTGGAAAATTAATACACCACTTCTCGTCCTTAGGAGCTTCTTACTGAAAAGTCTCCTTGTCATGCTCCCTTGCTTCCCTCTCCCTCTGACATCAGAATCCAGGCCACTCTCTGATTACTTCAGGGAGACCTTCTACCTCCCTTCTCTGAGTTTAATAAATAATCTCGCCCCTCTGGTTGGCTATAAGTCTTTTGTTTGTTTAGAGTGGGACATTCCTTGAGGGAAAGAACTGTGCTTTCTCCCATGTTCAGTGTGTGTGGTGTACTTCACCCATGGAGTCATTAAAATCTGAGAATTAAGATGATTATGCTAGCCCTGGCTGGCGTGGCTCAGTGGATTGAGTGCTGGCCTGCAAACCAAAGGATCACTGCTTCAATTCCCAGTCTGGGCACAGGCCTGGGTTGTAGGCCAGTGGCAGGCACACAAGAGGCAGCCGCACATTGACGTTTCTCTCCCTCTCTTTCTCCCTCCCTTCCCTTCTCTCTAAAAATAAATACAATCTTTTTAAAAACTATTATGCTAAAATACCAGTTTTTAAATGACAAATCCTCCCTTAGGGGAAAAAAATGTCAATTCTAATTCAAATGTGTTCCTGAGAAATCTTAAAAGGAACTCTGCTGTTTTAGAACTTTAGATCTCTTTATTTGCAAAGAATGTTTTTACAAAGTCGTGTGGCTGTCTACCCATTTTATCATAGCACTCTGGGTAAATCGGTTAGTCACAGCCGAAGAGAAATAAGGGATTTTCCTAAAGCTCAGTACTTACAATGTTGGTTATCCATTTATGCGTTCAATGAGTACTTACTGGACACTCACTGGATGAATCAGACAGCCTGGTCCCTGCCCAAGTGGGGCTCAGGATGGGCCTTCAGTCTTGCTGAGGAGACAGATTCGGCAGTGTCGTGACTGTTGTTGATTGAACAACACGGTTGCTGAGGGATGCCTACTCCAGTCAAAGAGTAAAATTTCCTAGGAAGTGATGTGTATGCAGAGACCCACAGGATGTGCGGCCAGGTAAAGAGAGGGCAGATAGCCGTTTCAAACCAAGAAATAATGTATTTGAGGCCTCCTTGGAGATACTCAAGAATTTCTGTGCTGACATGAGTATAGAATAGGAGTGGGGAGAATGGTGAGCATGAGAGCTGATACAGATAGTATCCTGTGGTATAGTCACCATGGGGTGCTGATGCCATTGACAGATGGACGCCACCAGACACAGTGGGAAAAAGTGGACTTTTGAACAGTAGAGGCTTTGGGAAGTGAGAGAGATGGTCATGCAGATTGGGACATCTGTGCTGCTCCCAGACAGCGGTATAAGTTGCCAAAATGACACTACCCAGAGTGAGGATTTAATCGGGTGTGCCAAACACCCTTTGTCATTCTTATTTGCCATTCTTACAGGGGTTTTCTTCCTGCCTGAATGTTGCGACTCAGCCCCCCAGCCCCCTCACGGGTGCAAATAGCAGAAGCAAGACCACTCTAACAAGATCCATAGGCCAGTTGCTCTGGAGCATCCCCTGGTAGGGCCAGCTTGGGGACCTACTTGAGGTCACTTCCTCTGGCCCAGATAATGCAGTGTGAGCTTTGAGATACTTGTCTACATACAAGCCTTTATAGTTTATATTTTAGTGCAATGGTCTTGACACATTGTGTCTTTTCAGGTCTTCAGGAAAGTTAGTTTTATGTTTTTATTTTGTAAAGGTGAAAGTTCGTATCTTCCAGTTTTCAGTTTGTTTTATGTATTTGCTCATTATTAGTTAAGAAGGATTTCTGTTTATGTTAGGTCTTGCCAAGATTTCTATTTATTAAAAATCTGCCAGATTTATGGTGTTGCTCATTGGATTGAACATGGGCCTGTGAAGCAAAGGGTCGCCAGTTCAATTCCCAGTCAGGGCACATGCCTGGGTTGCAGGCCAGGTCCCCAGTAGGGGACACATGAGAGGCAACCACACACTGATGTTTCTCTCCTACTCCTTCTCCTTCCCTTCCCTTCCCTTCCTTTCTCTCTAAAAATAAATAAATAAAATATCTTTAAGGAAGATTTTTAAAAATCTGCCACATTTATCATGAAACGGGTTAATCTAAGAAAGGAGGGACATCTTTTCTTTGAACAGGAGGGAGGAATAAAAAAATAAAGCTGGGACACTTAGGGTCTAGAAAGAAAGGAAAGGAAAAAGGGAGCCTTGATCTCATTTGTATAGTAGGAGGGGAGATTTTACCGAGGTAAAAGTTAGAACTAGAGACTGGAGTCGGGTAAGACAAGTTTGAAACAGCTACTGGGGGAAAACTGGGGAGTTTGCTAAGGGTCTTTGAAAGAGATGGATTACAGACCCAGTGTGGGTGGGCAGTCTGCCGACAAAGTGCAGACAAAGTGCAGGACTGGCGGTGCCTCTCGTGTTTTTGTTTCAAGTTCTAATTGACCAGGAACGTGTCCCTGTGATTTCAGATCTTACAAGACCTATTTTCTGGGAGAAATTACAAATGTAATAACCATTGTACTGGAATGGAGCACAGACTCTTTTTTTGTTTTTATTCTTTACAGACTATCTATTTAACTTCGCAACCGCTGCTACAAAGAAGATAACTGAATCAGTTGCTGAAACAGCACAATCGATAAAGAAATCAGTTGAAGAAGGAAAGATAGATGACATCATTGATAAGGTACATTTAAATATCTTTTGGTAGTAGGAATTTATGAGATTCATTAGCATCTAATATCCCTTCTTATGGGATAACCCAAGAAGGTATATGCCTTCTTATTTTAATAACCCAAGTAGGATATTATATTCTGGTAAAAATATTAATATTTGAGATTTTTGGGTTAATAAAATAAGAAAGATATCCCTTCTTATTTTATTAACCCAAGTAGAATATTATATTCTGGTAAAAATATTTTAGTATATGTGCTGCCGAAGCGAGCACTATATTCTGGTAAAAATATGAATATTTGGGATGCTAGGGTTTTTTTCTCTCTCTGGTAACAAGTGGCCATAGTATAAATTATCCTATTTAAATAACCTTTGTTTTTTAATGTAGTCTAAAACATATTGATACTTTTGGGTAATACTAAACTTTTCATATTATGAGTTTAATTTTTTACTATAACTACTTCAGAATATATTTATGCTTTTCACTAGTTGATTAATTTTTTAAAATCTTTGCGCATTATGAACAGTCTTTTAAGACACCAACAAGTTAATTTGTTCATTTTTTACTGTGGTGAATTTTATTTATGTTGATACTTATTTGAACTAAGGAGATCATCAATTTAATTTTAGATAGCTTATTATTCAGATACTTTTGTCGTGTGTGCTGTTAATTAGAATGAGATTTCGCCTGTCTTATATTTTTTTAGTAATGCAAAATTTCAGTTTTGAACTTATTTTTGCATTTGAAAAGACAGCTCATCATAAAGGGCATTGTATAGTTAAAATTCAAAAATGATGACAATTCTCTCATTGCAGATAGGGGAAACTATCACTTTTTTTTTAGCCTTTTTAATTTTGAAGAAAACAAAGTGTCTCAAATAGACTTTACAAATCTTGAATGCAATTCTTATCTAATAATAAACTTCTCGAGGTAATTTGACTCTATGTATTTTTTAATAGACTATTATAGGTGATTTTCACAAGGAACAGAAGAAATTTGTTGAGGAGCAGCAAACAAAGAAATCAGGTATGCATAGGTTTGTTGAACACAACTTGCCTGCCAAATTGTATCGAGTACTTATTACATGCCAGTCGCCATGATAAGGCCCTGAGAATACAAAAATGTGACAGTAATGGCCTCCATTCTTTGGGTAGTACAAAGACTAGTGGGGAAGACAAACCTGTAAACCACTGAGGTTTAAAAAAATGAAGGCATTATTCCCTGTGGCTGGGCTGGTGGGCGAGCTCAGCCTGTGATGACCCATCTGAGGAGCAGTACCTTTCTTCACTGACAAATGCTTGTTTAAATGTTTGCAATTATAAAATCTCAGAATCCCTACTTTTACCATTTGGTGGTGCTCAAACACAAAACTGGCCTTGTGTCTTTGAATGTGGCAAAAGTGGGGTAAAAGAATCCAATCCATTTGGGCAGTGTTACAATTCAAAAAGAACTAGTTAGTCTTTTGGTGAGTTCCCGTCAGGCATTGTTGTGCCTTGGTAAACTCAGAGGTATGAAGCAGCTCTTTGGGACAAATAAACTATGCTCATTAGCATAACAGTGATTCATGGGAAGCAGTAAAATTGGCTTGGAGACTTGGCGTAGAGCTGGTTTGTGCCTCTGAGATACGAACTGTGAGGGCATGAGGGTAGAAAGCTTGGAGGCGATTTTAGTTTTGAGGTGCCCATTAAACAGCCAGGTGAGAGAAACATGTACCAAGGCAGGGGAGGGAAGGCAGGTGGCATATCAGGAAAATTGTATTCCTCCGTCACATTAGTTGCATATCAGGTGCCCAGTAACCACATGGGACTAGTGGCTTCTATATTGGACACTGCAGATATAGAACATTTCCATCATTGCAGAAAATTCTGTTGGTCAGCACTGTTCTAAACTAATTGAACAGGGTCCAAGTAGCAGTTCATTTGTTCAAAGCATGGAGGAGAATTCCATGTACAGATACAGATTATTAGTCAAGTCATGTAAAAACCCTGAGAGTAGGTGAGCTCCTTGATGAAAAGTGTGCCCAGCGTGAAGAGAGATAAGTGGAGATCTGCCATGTTTAGGGGGAGGGAGCGGAAGGAATTGACAGTTTCTGAGTGCCTACTGAGGGGCGGGTGCTTTATACAGGGTGGGGCAGAAGAAGGTTTACAGTTGTTCGTAGGGAAAATAATACAGTCATTAATAAACAATAACACAAGAATAAACTTTGTGTTTCACATACTCCGAACTGTAATCCTACTTTTTTGCTCCACCCTGTACATGACATCTCATTTAATAAAAGGAAAGACCAGCAAGGTTAAGTAATTGCTGAAGGTCACTCAGCTGGTAAGTGATGAAACAAACCTGCCATCCAAGCCCGCCGGCGCCCATTTACCCAGGAGAGAACAGCTAGCAGAGAGAAGCAATGGGAGCCTCCAAAGGGGAGAATTTCCAGGAGAGCACGGTCCACGGAGAGGTCTATTCACAGTGAGCACGAGAGGGCGCTGTGTAAGTGCTCCGCATTCATGGGTTCACTTAGCGGTCGCGAGAACTCTGTGAAGTGCTTGCCTTTATCCCCATTCTCCAGATAAGGAAACTGGCCTAGAGATGGAAGAACCAAGGAGTGTCCACGGGGTTGGACAACCAGGAGGTTATTGGTCACTCGGAATAGATGAGTTTCAGGGAAGGGGGATGTACGGATGACTTTTCCTTACCAGTAGCTTGGGCCTTGGGAAGACCTCATATCTGAGGATAAGCAGTGCTGGGAGAAGCTGCCCCAGGTGAACAGACTTAAAATGGAGACCAAAATGTTATAGTAAGTAGTACGAGAAAAAAAGTTTTAGAGGGTCTTTACCCTCATATTTAAAGTATCAGAATATGTTTGTCTTATAATTAACAGAAGTTGGATTGTAATTTCCACCATTTGCTTGTTTAGGATGAGCCAAAGAATGAACTTGGTGTCGTTTGCTCATGTGTTCATCCATGCATGAACATACATATGTCACGTATGTCTTCGGTCAACTGGCACACAGTAGGATGTCTGTACCACTTATTTGACTTTTGCAGCATAATAGTAAAAGGGATTTTTTTCTGCGAAACTGTGAGGACCCTTTGCTGTGTATGACCACCCACCTCCATAGCGTTAGCTCTGCCGTCTTGCCCTGCTCCAGGCTCAGACAGTAGAGTTACTTCCTCTGAACATCCCACCCATCCGCCCACCCACCCACTCACCCACCTCTGAACTCCTCCTCGTCCAAGGTGGGCTCCCAAGTCACCACACAAACTGCGGGGGACTTACCTTTCCAGGTGGTTGCCATTTGTCATCTGGCATTATAACCATGATGAGTTGCAATCATCTCATTTTCTTGTCAGCCCCGGAGACAACAGGCTGGGTTGTAAGGCATCTTGGTATGCCCAGCACTTTGCTTCTAAAGGCTCAGAGGATTTAATCCCCACCTCGATGCTTACGGCTTCCAGTTTGCCTATTTCTTTCATTTGCTTCCACTCCTGACAACCCTTTTCTCAATTCCTGTTTATCTTACAGCCTCCTTACAACATTTTGTCATGAGTCAAGTACAATAACTTTTTATAAAAATTTTTATTTGCAAATAATTTTAATATACAGAAAAGTTGCAACAATAAAAGTAGTATAGAGAATACCGGTATGCTTTCTATCCAGACTGTGAAAGTTTGATAGCTTTAGGAAATTTAACATTGATGTAATGCTCACGTTCAAATCTTGTCATTGACCCAGTACAGTCTTTTGTATGTTTTCCCCCTCAACACAGTATTGCATTTTTTGTCACATCTCTTAGTCTCCTTTAATCTAGAACATTTCCATAGCTTTTTTTTTTTTTTGGTCTTTTATGACATAAATGGTTTTAAGAATTCCTCTCCATTTTTTGTAAATAGACCACTTCTCATTTGAGCTGTGTTTGATACTTCCTCACAGTTAGATTATAATTAGATTCAGATTATGCCTTCTTGGTCAGAATACTACACAGATGATGTGTCCTTCTCCGGGTACGTCATTGGGAGGCCCACAGTAGCCATCTCTGCCTTGTTGGTGATGCTGATTTTGGTCACCTGGTCAAGGTATCGCCCAATTTCTCTACTGTATAATTCAAGGGTTTTTTTTTAAAACCAACATAAGATTGGTTAAAAAAACCCAATATTGCATAAAATTTATGCTTTAAGTCTGAGAATTATGAGGAACTCATTAGTAAATTACTAAAATGGTTGTATGGAAACGTTCACATTTTTCAAGCCACAGTTGCAGTGTAACCCTTGTAACCTGTTTTTTTTCTTTTTTTCTTGGCTATTCAAACCTTTTAGAAGCAGCAGTGCCCCCATGGGTTGATAGTAGTGATGAAGAAACAATTCAACAACAAATTTTGGCCTTATCAGCTGTAAGTATCTTGTGATACTCTGTGTAGAAGTACTTTCTTCCTGTCACGAGTTTATCCTTAGCAGGTGTTTTTCTTCTATACAATTTTTCAAATATTTTAAGATATTAGGAATGTACAGGTCAACTTTCACTTTTTTTTTTTTTTTTTTTACTAACTTTTAATTTGCTTCTCCACAAGTTCTTTTTTCTTAATGGAATACAATAGCCTAGTACACAAAAATAATTCTTTCAGCCTCAAAAGAATTCTTTTATGTTATTAAGATGGATAATCTTTTGAAATATGTTATGATCCAAAGCTTCCAGATAGCATTCTGATTCTTCTGAATGAAATGATTATTTTCTAAGTTTCTTTTTCATCGCTATATGTGTTTGAAACTGAAGTTGAAAGAAATACAATTCATATGCTGGCCCACAAAAATTTCTCTTGGGACTTCAGAGGGAACGTAGTTAACAGGTGTATAGACCTGACAGTTTCAGAAAGCGCTTTCACACACATTATCCCTGTTCAGCCTCACTGCACATCTGTGAGGTAGGCAGGGGCTTTTGACGCCATTATGCAGGTGTGGGGATTGAGACCCTCAAATGTGACCCTTGCTTACCTGTGTCTTACCTGTGTCTCCTGTGTCACCACTGGGCTGTGAACTCTCAGAGGGCAGAGACCGGCTTTAATCTCTGTTGTAAGGACTGAGCCCCCTGCCTGGCACAGGACTCAACGAATACAGGTTTTTGTTGTCAGTGGTTTTCAAGTTTTGTTTTTAACCCACTTTTTAAAAAATCAAAGTCATAAATGGAACCTCAGTCTAGACAACAAACAAACTGGACTTTACCTCCATTCTAGCCCTCCCCCAGGGCATTTTAAGATTTTTTTCCATGAATAAACTCTTTAAAGGCCTGAGCATCCATTACAAGTTCAATGTGAACGGCATGTATTTTGTTTACTATGTTACAGCCAAACTTGACACTGACATGTCATACCTGCATATCCTCAAAAGAAATAGGGACAGTTAAGTAATTGTCGTTTGAGGGAAAACATCATAAACTCATTGGTCAGCTCCCCCAGGTCCTTTAATCTTCTCATCTTCTCTATCTCAGAATAGGACTCAATTTATTCGCCACTTTTTTCTAGCCTCAAACCTGGGGGTCTTCCTTGAGTCATACCTTCCCTTCCTCCTGCCCCTCCCTCCGAGGGAGGGGGTCACAATGCTGTGTTCAGAATATAGCTCTGGTCCACTTTTCTGCTGCTACCACAGTGGTCCTGCTGCCATCATCTGCCCAAGACATCTCATCCGTTGTCCCCTCCTTGCCCCACCCCAGGACAAGCTTATTTCAGCAGCCAGAAGGGTTCATTTATGGTGTGAATCGCTTCATGTCGCTCCTCCCCTACATTGACTCTTTGAATGGCATCTCATCTCTTGCAGACTAAGATATAGCCTTCCTCTGCAGTTTCTAAGGCCCTGGCTTTACACACCTCTCCTCCCTCATGCCCCACTGCGCCGGCCACCAGCACTGTAGCCACAGTCTCTGTCTGGTGGACAGCTAGGCCCATTAGGAGGCTGCTACAGAAACCTCGGGGAAACACTGGGGCAGCTTCAAATTTGAAGTTTTTACACTGGAAGGTAAAATAACTAAAATCCATTTAGGCTCACATTCTTGCTGTATTTATATAAGAATTCTCAAAAACCAAAAATATTTTTTAAAACCAGCATAGGCCAGATGAGATGAAATTGGTACTTTTTAGGAGGAGCATAAACGGCTCCAATCTTTCTGGGGGAGAGTTCAGGCAATATGTATCCGAAATAGCTGTGTAGTCTAAAGAGATCACTTTAGAAGAGAATCTTTCTAAGAAAAGATTAGGAACAATATGCTGACTACCGAAATGAGCTGGTTAAGAGAATTATGTTCATTCGGTGCAGACATAGCTACTTTGGAGATGGGAATATATTTGTGACCCTGAGTGAAAAGGGAAAACGTGATCCACAGCATGTGGTGTGTCTTTCTGTTCAGGTGAACTTGTATTTGTACAGACACTGTACATATGCAGAGAGACGTGCCCAGGAGGGTGTGCGCTGGGTTGTTTGTGGATGGTGGGGGTTTTGACTCTGTGCTTTGCTTTTGTTTTGAATTTTTAGAAAACAGGTGTGGATCATATTTATAAGTAAAAACATGTTTTTTTTTTAAATAAAAAGAAATAGAATAGAAACAGTCTTGATGGTTTGAGTGGTCCCGAACAGCAGCTTTTTGCCTTGGTTATTATGCTCAGTCTGTAGGAGAGGGAATGATCAAACAATCTGTTTATACAGTAATCAGCGGAGCCGTGTGCTGCCTCACAGGAATTCCAAGCCACCCTCATTCCCTAGGAAATGGGCCCTATCCATGAAGCTCAGCCTTTGGGTTTTGCATTTCATTTCCTCCTTGGCTAACTGAAGAAAAGTGGTCCAAGAGTAACACGGACTGTCACGGCTCTTGACAGTAGTGGGTGTAGTGGGCCCAGGGGTGCTGGGGGTCACAGCAAGGTCCTCTCACAGTTTCATGTTACATACTGACTCTGGGTCACAAGCCATATGACAGTCTTCGGTGAAGGGGATGCTTTCCCACTACAGTCTTGGGTCAGATTTTTTTTTACTGAGACTCCAGTTTTCATACACGAATGACAGAATGTTTGCATAAGTATTTGTATGGCATTTTATTTTGTCAGTACCTCTTCATGGGTTGTGAATTATCTAACCCTTAGTGTAAGGCATCTAAGCCTGAGTACAGTGGTGTGAAGAAGGATTTACTTAAAGTTGTCATGTTTTTTTTTAAGTTTTTATTTATTAATTTATAGAGAAAGGTGAAGGGAAGAGGAAAGAGAAGTGCAGAAACACTGGCATGATAGAAACATCAGCCGCCGGCTTCTCATATGTGCCTTGACTGGGGACCAAACCTGCATCCCAGGCACGTGTCCTGACCAGGGACCAAACCTGTGACCTTTTGCTTTGTGGGATAGTGTCCAGCCAACTGAGCCACACCGGTCAGGGCTCTATTTGTCACATACTTTTTAAAAGAAGATTGAGTCCTGACCGGTGTGGCTCAGTTGGTTGGATGTTGTCCCGCAAAGTGAAAGGTTGCAGGTCGAATTCTCTGTCAAGGGGCTTATGAGAGGCAAGTGAGTTTAAAAAAAAAGAAGATTGATATCCAGCAGGGCAAGAAGAGTTAAGGGGAGCCAGTTCATTCATTTTCCTGCTCTCTGCTGCAGGCTTCCTAGCACCGTGCCTTTTGCATTAGAAACTTGCAGGAGGCAGACTGCAGGAGTGAGCAGCCGAGAGGGCTGCGTGAGGAAATTGGAAGTGGTGCATAAGTTCAAGGTGGCAGGATCTCAGTATCTTGCTGTCCCTGTAGTGTTGTCACACCTGTACAGGGTTCATCGTGCGGAGTGAAGTCAGTGTCCTCCTAGATAAAAGTGGGCAGAGCACGTGAGATGCATAGGCAGCCAGCCTATTGAGTTTGTGGCTGCGCTAGAGTGGGAGGAATACGTGACCCCGGAAGGGGAAGCCCTGCGTCCTGGCCCTGCCACTCACTTACAGCACCAGCCTGATCTTGGACAAGCCATTTGGCTTCCAAGATCCAGTTTCTTCATCTGTAAAGTGAGGACAGAAGCGCTTGCTTCATAGTTTGTTGTGACAAAGAAGCCGGGGTGTCAGCTGGAGGCCCAGGCTTGGGCTCACTGCGGCTCAGCCAAAGTTTATTGACTGAACAAACAATAAACCTTTTCCCAGCCTGGCCGTGTTCTGCAGAGAAGCCCCACTGGGTCTGTCAGTCACCGTTACATTCCCAGGCCCTTGGTATAGGGACTGACCTGTGCAGCTTCACAGGGATTTGGCAGGCAGAGCCTAGGCCTTGGCGTTCTGTTGAGAGGAGTAGGACGAGAGCGTGGCCCGTGCACACTTGAGAAGTAAATTGAGTGGTGGATTTCACTTTTCTGATATGACCCCCAAGGTTAGCTGACTTCAACTGCAGTCAGAATGTTTCTAAGATTATCTACAGTAGTTTTCACATACCTCATGGTGCCCAGTAAAACAGACATGTATTCATTATGATTTCAAACTATATAATCTCAAATAAGTGCATGATTGACTTCCCTGGTCTTTCACAAGGCTGTCCAGTAGAGACTTTTAAAAAAAAATTTAGTTATTTTTCAAGTACAGTTTTTTGTTTATTTCTCCCACCCCAGCCTCCCGTGCTCCCCACCTCCCTCCCATTTCCACCCCCCAGTAGAGACTTAAAAATATATCAAAAGAGTGGTCATTCTCTGCTCTCTCTTAAGCAGACAGGTTAACAGCAGCTCAGTGGACTTTGTGGCTGAAGTGTTTAGGAGAATTTCAGTATTCATTCAATCAATAATGCATTGTTAAATATTAATTGCATTCTATGGTTTTGCCCCTTTTCATCAAAGGACAAGAGGAACTTCCTCCGTGACCCTCCGATTGGTGTGCAGTTTCATTTTGACTTTGATCAGATGTACCCTGTTGCCCTAGTCATGCTCCAAGAGGACGAACTGCTGAGCAGGATGAGATTCGCTCTTGTTCCTAAACTGTAAGCACTGTGTTCTTGTGGCGCCGCTATACAAAATGTGTACATGTGTTTCAGTGGCCTCGGTCCATGCACAGTAGCAAAGAAAAATTGCAGAATGGGGGCCAGAACAGACTCAAACTCTCTTCATAACAATGGGCTCTGTGGTCCTGACCAGTGTGGCTCAGTTGGCTGGGCATCATTTCACAAAACAAAAAAGGTCACTGGTTCAATTCCCAGTCAGGGCACATGCCTGGTTTGTGGGCCAGGTGCCCAGTTGGGGGCATGTGAGAGGCAGCCATGCATTGATGTTTCTCTCTCTCTGTCTCCCTGTCTTCTCCTCTTTCTGAAAAATAAAATCTTTAAAAGGGGGGGTGCTCTGTGGCCCTTCAGTACCAGATACACACACACACACACACACACACACACACATACACTCTGCACCGCAGAATCAAAACTTTTGGGAAATTTGCAGTGGGGCTGAGATGTGCCCTTTTCATCTCTGGTGAGAAGATAGAGTGCAGTTAGGGTGGCAGTAGGCCCCCTTCTCTTCCCCTCTGCCCACCACAGCCTCTTCCCATCCTCCTCACCTTTCCCAGTTCCAGTCCCTTATTTTGAATCTGTTGTCGACACGAGTGTTCCTTTTTTCTAACACTCTGTTCTTACATGGATGTGGTGTCTTACTCTTCTCTGAGGACATGAAGTTTCTTGAGATAATTCTTCTCTCTCTGCTCTTTTCTGTGAATTTTTGTGTTTGCTTTGGGCTCTGTCTTTCATGTTGCAGACTTTTTTACCCATCCTTTGGGTGACGGCACCATGCTGAGACGCGGTTGGGGCTGTGTGTCCCACAGGCTCTTTGGGGCCTGGTGGCTTCCCCGAGGGCGCTCTTCAGCGTCCTGCCGGGCTGCAGGTAGAATAACAGGGAAAGCCTGGCCCCTGCGGCTTCGTTCCGTGCAGTGTTAGGTCCCTGTTCTCAACTGTGCCAGCCAACCCTGAGTGTGCAGAGGCTTCGGTCCTAGTGGGCCCTCAGTCTGTGCCGTGGGGGGACATGGTCCCTGGTCAGAAGGAGCAGCACGGGGAGTCGGGGCCATCTCCCTGTCCTTAAGGCCGTCTCTACTGCCCCTCCTGCCTTGGAACAACACTTATATAGAGTCCTTTATTTGTTTTTTCTTGTAGTGAAATTCTTCCCTCCATAATTATGAACATATTGGTGGTAAATTACTATTATGTTCACAAAACCCTGGGACCTGGCTTTCAAACAGTTCATATGTATATATCAGTTGAAAGCTTTTTTATCTCAGAATTTGCATAGCTGCCTCTTAGAGAAGCACAGCAAAGCTCAGGGGTCCAGGGGTACTCCATGCACAAAAGCTCCATCAGCTTGAGAACTTTGGAATCACCGTAGGCCACACAGTGGACGCTCTGCCGGTGCTCTGGGGACTGTCCAGAGGTCCTGAGGTGCTGAGACTTGTGGCCTCGAGTGCTCCCGGCAGGCATGTCACCATCCATAGTTTTGGTTTTTGACAATTCTGTCTCCCTCTCACTGCTGACAGTTGTTTGATTTTTTTTTTTTTAAAGCCTGCAAAATTGGTATTTGGCAAATAGTATTTCAGATTTGTTGCTGGCTAAGTAAACTGCCCATGGAGCAATGTAATTCCAATTTCGCACTTATAATTCTGTTAGCAATGTTTTAGAAATTAGGTTTGGTTTGTTAGTCTTTATCTGTTAGAAATGCTTACTGAAGTATTTACGGATGAAAGGGTATGGTGTCTGCCATTGCCTTAAAATTTTACAACCTACCCCCAAAGAAAAGCACTGTGTGCAGGGAAGGAGGCAATAGAGGAAGCATGACTTGCAAAATGGTGGTGGTTCTTCAGGTTAGGTCACCAGTACCTGGGGGTTCTTTGTTCTAGTCTCTCCACTTTTGTTGAAATGTCTATGATAAAATAAAACAAAAATGAGCCATCACACATAAATACGGGGCTTCCGGACTTTTCCTTCTGACATGCAGGAATGCAACTTTGATCATTTTAGACACTTTGTCTCAACAGAAGCCATCACTAAGCAGTAACGATTTAGAAAAGGAAACAAATATTTTCTCTGTATTTTAAAATGCCTTTTAGTTTGGCAGCGCTTCCCTATGACGACAATGCAGCAGTGCCGTCAAGAGATAGGGCCCTGCCTCGCATCAAGGGCACCCTCTGCTTTACTCCCACGACAGTAGGAAGATCACAGTTTCTTCCTGTGACAGTCTTGGACTGACATACGCCCATTGTTTCCCAGACTGTTCACAGCATACTAATGCCTTAAAACAGTCCTTGGAGTGTAAATGGTGAGAGAAATGTTTGGGAATTGATACGCTGGGTGGATTTTTTATTTCATTGTACGGCTTCTTAGAACCTTTAGTAGGTCATGTGCACGTGACTCTCTCCAGGAGGTAACCCAATATTTCTGCAGTGTGCCTGTGACCACTTCCTGTCACATCAAGAGGGAGAGGCCTCTGGGAAAAGAAAACAATCTGGCTGTTTTAATTACAAGGGCAAACATTGCTTGAGAACCACTGTAGATAGCCAGTACACTGTTCATTTTGGACGTTTCAGAGAGCTCAGGATTAAAAGTGATCTTGAAAATATTCAGGCCACTCACTGCCTCACGGGAAGGCTAATCTCGCTTTTGTTTGGCTGTGATGTTACAGTTGAAGGCCTCTGAGTTTATCCGGGCAAACGCCCAGTTCCTGCAGTTGTTCCCCAGATGTCCCAGTGTCTGTATCCCCCACCCTTCGGGTGGTGACCCTCTGAAAGCGAGTTCCCCAAAGCGGATGTGCTGCGTTGTCTGACTGCAGAAGAGCACGCTCTAGAGAATCTCGTGTGCTTTTTAATGCAGCCTAAGGTTTCGTTAGCTCCTCCGGCAGCTGTAGCACAGTGATGTTTCTCTGCTCAACTTGTGGTCAGCTAGAAGTCCTTGCTGCTGTTAAGCTAAGTCTCCTGCCAAACTACTTCCAAGATACGCTAAGAGAAACAGAGACTCGTGTGGCCACATGAGTTTGGGAAATGCTTCTTGGCACATGGTAAGAGCTGAACGAGTACGAGGTCATTATCGCTGTGCCCATCTATGTTGGCAGACAACTCGTCTTATCCATCCCTTAACCTCTCCCCGCCAGCGCGTAGCATGGGGCCTAGGTGCATGTGGCAGTCGGAAAATGTCCGTAGGGTTAATGAAAGAAAAGATGGCTGCGCCTAGCGTCGTGTCAGCTTGTTGCCTGGCCTCATTTGTGGAAATAAACCTGCATTTTGCCTGTCGCACTTTAAAAGCTAGCTTCCTGAGCCAGCTTGGCCGTTCACAGATGTGACGACCCCGTGGTCTGAGGTGCTATCTAAGGCAAGCCCTGTCCTCATTCATAAGCCTGGGTCTCATCGTTTTCTCTTGGTTCTCACTGACTTTCTTCTACTCCTTCCAAGTTTTTCTGTTTAGGCTTTCTTCCTCAGCTTTCCCCCCATTCGAAGAAACTTCTAGTAAACCGGGAGGTAAAGAGGCATTCTCTGGTACTCTTGTCATTTCCACTAGCAAAGCATTTTTACAACATAAAAAGAACAACTCCTCCAGGCTGAAAGAGAAAGAATAAAAAATAAAAACCCAACATACCACACATGTCCTGCAGGTCACCATAGTTGTTCCTTGGCTGCCCTTGGCTGGGGGAGCGGAAGGGGGATACATGCTATGTGTTGGCTGAGTCTTTTGTCTTCTACCTTTGATCTTTTTATTTAATTGCTGTGAGGTGAGCATAGCTATCAGTGTTTATTATTATTATTATCATTTTGAAACAATCAAAAGTTACAGAAAGGTGAGACATACAGTCTGAAGAAATTTTTTCTGAGTCATTTGGGACCTGATTGCTTTAATGCGTGGGACCTGATTTGCTACAAACGGATTCTCCTGCAGAAACGCGGTGTAACCATCCAAATAAGGAAGCGGTCACTTCCACGTTTTTGCCATCTAATTCTCAGACCCTACTCTGCTTTTAACCATTTGTCCCAATAATACCCTCTTAAGTGAAAGGATCCAGTTCAGACTCACATGCCACGTTATCAACCATCTCCCACCTCGTTGCTGACTCTCACAGATTGCTAGTTATTTACAAGCTGCCAAACATTTCCTTTCATAAAGAACAACACCCACAATCTTTTTGTCTCGCTGCTTGAAAGCACTTAATTCTTCAGTAAACGGCAAATAATTGGTTGGGTCCTGGCTCTGTTTCCAGTCTCCCAGGTGATCGTGCTGCTTTTCTTCACAGCAGCACCCAGTCTTCCTCTGCTGAGGCCAATGTTGGTATCATTAAGATGGCTAGAACTGCTGAGGCTTCACTGGTGTTCTGTAAGTTTTCTGTTGCTGCTGTGAAGATAGCTGTTCTTTTTTTTCCTGTTATTCACCTTCCACTTGGAAAGCAAATGAGAACCTTCTTTGAGCCTCCCTTAGATTTGCACATGCCCCCCAAAATCATCTATTCCAATCTCCATGCAACAGATAACCCCTCCATGCATCTGTGGGCATGCATGCTCAAATATGATGTTGTTTGTCTTTAAAAGCGTGAAGGAAGAAGTGTTTTGGAGGAACTACTTTTACCGAGTGTCCCTGATTAAGCAGTCGGCCCAGCTCACAGCCCTGGCCGCCCAGCAGCAGGCTGCTGCCGCCAGAAAGGAAAAGAGCCACAGCAGAGAGGATACACTGCCGCTGACAGGTATATTCAGAGAAGTCTCTGAAAAACAGTTATTTAAAAAATATTCTTGCCCTGGCTGGCATAGCTCAGTGGATTGAGCACAGGCCTGTGAAGCAAAGGGTTGCCGGTTCGATTCCCAGTCAGGGCACATGCCTGGGTTGCAGTCCAGGTCCCCGGTGGGGGACACACGAGAGGCAACCACACATTGATGTTTCTCTCCCTCTCTTTCTCCTTCCCTTCCCCTCTCTCTAAAAATAAATAAATAAAATATTTTAAAAAATATTCTTAACTTAAAGACCCTCATGAGCTTGTCATCTTGTATGCATCAGAAATGTCACCATCTTACCAAAAACTCTTCTTTCCAGGGGAGATAATCATGGGCTTCGCTTGTTGCCCTCCCTTGCTGACCTCACTCACCAGTCTTTGCCAGTCTTTACTTTGCTCTCTTTTTCTCATTCTTCATTTTTCTCATTCTTCCTTTTTATTTGTCCTTTGATCACCAGTCACCTTGGCTGTCTCTTTCATTGCCCATGTGACTTTTTATGCCTTCTGCCCTCTACCGACTCAGTCCACTGCTTTTCTTTGTTGTTCAGCCTTCATTCAACCCGACGTGTCCCCCGTGCTGTAGTCTGTAGAGCAGAACTAAGCTCCGTTCCACTCCAAGTTACAAAAACCCAGCTCAGAGCCAGGTGACATTGGATTACACATTTGATTCTTGCTGTGACAGTTCACGCCTGGTTGTTGGGAAAAGTGTTTTATAATATCAGCAATGATTTAATATCTGTAACAATAATTGAAATAACAAATGTATTGCCCTGGCTGCTTGTTCAGTTGGTTACAGCATCATCCAGACACATGAAGGTTGTAGGTTCGATCCCCAGTCAGGGCACATATAAGAATCAACCAATGAATGTATAAATAAGTGGAGCAGCAAATCAACGTTTCTCTCTCTCTGTCTCCCCTCAAATCAATAAATTTTAAAAACTTAATGTATTTTGTTACATTCTTTCACATTTAATGAATACCTGCTCTATGTAGGTACTATTGACAACTGGAGACTTTTCTATTCATGAAATTTTAAATAATTACACAAAAATGGTGTGTCCTAAGGTTCAGATTGTATAGACCACTAATGTAATGAAGTTGCTCTGTGCAATGAAGTTTGGCATCTTACAGATGTTAATATGAATCCCAAGTGTCTATCATTCTTTAGTATTTCCTTTTATTACTTTTATTGGAAAATGCCACTTTATCAAATATTGCCTGTGTAACAAAATGGACTAAAGACAGGGTTCACTAAAGACTAGTAAGATCTACTAAGATTTATCAGGTAGCAAATGCAGCTGTGAGAAAAGAAGCTGTGATTAAGTATTACATTTCATTTTGTACTTCCTAGCATAGGAGGAAAAGGAAGCATTTGGGAGGAAAGGAAAACTTGGTAAATAACTTAGTTCTCATTATCCTAAAAGAAAGAGCAGAACTATTCTTAAGTAGATTTTGCTAACACTGAAGTCAAAAATTATTTCCTTCTGGGAATCCGTACAAGAGGCATTGAATATGATGACATATTAAAATATCCCCCAAAGAAAGAGGGATGATTTCACCTGGCTATTTCTTGTAATAACGTAAACATGGAAAGCATACTATTAAAATTTTATTTCTGTAAATTGTTTAATATCATCATATTTGTGGATTTTGAACTGTTGTTATTGTATGTATTCAGAATTAAATCAAGCATTTATTGTCTCTTTTATTCTCACTTCTTAGAGGCAGTACGGCCCAAAACACCACCTGTTGTAATCAAATCTCATCTTAAAACTCAAGAGGTAATGCAATTTTACATTGTTCCTAGTAGTTGATGTCTGGAAATGAAGTTGCTGTGTGTTGACTATCTGAGATACCATTTCGAACGACTTACGAATATGGGTCTTACCTGCTGTGAAAGAGGGGGCCAGTACTTGGAATAATTAGAGACCTATAGCTCGGACTTGAGGCGATTCCCTGGCATAAATCGTTCTAGATATGCTCTTTGGGGATTGGACAGGCTGACAGGAGTGATCCCAGCTGGGAGCGAACACAATAGATTCCGGCTGTAACTCACTTAGTTACCAAGCAGTGTGCAGGTTAGAAGGTTGGAGAGCAGTGATCATTGGACTAGCAGAGAAAGGAAGTGAAAATGATGCTGCATTAAATTGCTAGATGACCATAAACAAGAAGTCTAGCCTGGACAAGTCACTTAGGAAACCATTTCTACGGCTTATTTGTTGCATTCCAGGATGAAGAGGAGATCTCCACCAGCCCAGGTGTTTCTGAGTTTGTCAGTGATGCCTTCGATGCCTGTAACATAGATCAGGAGGATCTGAGGAAGGAAATGGAGCAGCTGGTGCTCGACAAAAAGCGGGAGGAGACAACCACAGTGGAAGGTACAAAACAAAACAACCATTCTATTCTCCGTTTCTGAAGTTGATTGTAGAGAGTTGTTATTATTGAAGCAGATATACAAAAATATGTTGTGACTTTTGCATCAGAATTGCTTCTCTGTCCACCAGAGGAAGGATTCTAGTACACATGACTAGACCTCACACCTCTCTGCCCTAATCATTCACAGAAGCATAGACAGAAGAAACTAAGACCCAGTGATGTGTCCCGGGCCTCTCAGTCCAAGGACGGGTGGCCAGGGTCAGGGGAGAAAGCAAGCACACCTTCCACATGGAGACACTGCCTACTGGCACTCTGCTTTAAAAACTGGCATTCTCCTTGGGTTTATGCTTGTATCTAGAAGCTTCTGTTCCCAGCTCCTGTATACCACAAGAGCATCACTTCTGGGAAGGAGCAGGCTGCCTCTAAAAAACTAACGAATTTAGAGAAAAAGTGCATTGCCCTCACTGGTGTGGTTCAGTGGAATTAGCATCAGCCTGTGAATCAAAAGATCACTGGTTTGATTCCCAGTCAGGGCACATGCCTGGGTTGTAGCCCAGGTCCCCAGATGGGGGTGTGCAAGGGGCAGCCTGTCAGTGTTTCTCTCCCTCTCTTTCTCCCTCCTTCCCCTCTCTTTAAAAATGAATGAATGAATGAATGAATGAATGAATAAAATCTGAGTTTAAAAAATTAAAAGAAAAAAGTACAAGTGGAGGGTTGCTTTCTTTGACACATCAGGACAAATTACTGGCTTTGTACTGGATGAAAAGCAAAGGCTTGGGTCCATCGTCAAATGTAGACTATTTCCTGAAGCCTTCTGAGATTCACAGTTTAGGGACTCGGCTGTTCCCATAGGTTGTGCAGAGAGCACTGGTCAGAAAACTGGCCAGCTTCTCAGAGGCTAGCTCCTGGCTACTCTGGAGACTTGTTCTTTCTCTGAATCAGTGCCCTAGTTGTAATTTGGGCCACTTAATGTTCTTTTTTATCGTAGTTGCCTTGGCTTGCCCCAGGTAAATTGTAAGTTCCTCAAAGGCAGTTACACCTTGTCGGGTTGTCCCCCACAGTACCTATCATGGAGCCTGGCTCCCAGTAAGCAATGAATAAGTATTTCTGTAGTTGGTTGTTATGCAACATACTGTCTTTTCCCTTGAGGTCACTGTTGCAAAAAAAAAAAATTAAAACGTTTGGGTTTTGTTTTCTCTATAGCTACTAAAAGTTTATTTTTAAGGGTTGAAAATGAATTTAGCCTTTGCTTTGTAAATAGCTGGTTTATTTTGTTTTCTCACTGTTTTATAACACTACATAGCAGATGCCTCTTACCTTTACATGCATATGCACATATGAACACACATACACACACAAAACTTACATTGAGTGTTTAAGCAGAACTTGCCGCTGTAAATCTCAACACAGAAGACCAGCGTGAGAGCTCAGATGGAGCCCTGCGTGAGGGGCCAGGCTTCAGTGAGAGACTGCCTGACTTCCAGTCCTGGCGCCCCTCGCCTCTCTAGGGAGACCACTACTACAGTGGTTAAGCACAGACTGTGGGGCCCGCAGATCTGGTTCCATCTACATGTCTGGTGCTGTCAAGCTGTGTGATCTTGGGCAGGTTCCTTAACCTCTCTCAGCCTCCATTTCCCCATCTGTAAAGTGTATATAATTTAAAAAAATGTGTATAATAGTGGTATCTAGTCCATGGATTGTTCTAAGAATGAAAAAGTAGAGAGTGGATAGTACAGTGCCCGGCTCAGAAGTGCTCAAGAAATGTTCACTGTGTTTGCTACCGTTATCATCATTGTTAGTGGTAAAAATTCATTTGTCCCCAAATATTATCAATTATCTCATTAAGTTGAAGGAAAAATAGAGGCCCAGATAAAGCAAAATAACACCCCGTATTTACTGACAACATCTGATACCTTGGTTCTACATCTAACAAATTTTTCTTTCTAATCTTATTAGAAAGACTATTTGTAATTTCTTGGTTACTCTTAAAATTCGTTCCGTTTTTCTGGGCACACACGTGAGGAAGCCTGAGACATTCAAAATGACTGTGGCTCGGACTTAGGTAGTCGTAGTCAACTGAATTGTTCAAACCAGCACGATGAATTCAGAGAGAACCTTTTCCTTCTTATCTCTTTCTTCTAGAGGATTCTACAGATTGGGAAAAAGAACTACAGCAGGAGCTTCAAGAATACGAAGTGGTGACAGAATCAGAGAGACGAGATGAAAACTGGGACAAGGAAATAGAGAAGTTGCTGCAGGAGGACGATTAACTGCTCACTGAAAGAAAAGAACAGTCCTTAACATTCTGTAACTGACATTAAAGTCTTGATGATAACACTCTGAATCAAAAGGCACAAAAGAGTATAACTTTATGAAACTCAGAATTATTCTTTTTTCACGTTGAAACTTGCCTCTTTAAAAAAAATCAAGAGAGCATTTACTCTAATCAAAAAGGGATGCTTAATATTTCTTTCATATAAATCTAGCTAGAGATATTCTTATAGTCGGTATGGGTATCTTAGCCACAGAAACACGAATACAATTTTTAGAATTCTGTTTTCCGTGAGGTCCACAATATATTCTTCAATTGTGGTTTTCTAAACATTTGTACTTCTTGTTGCACTTTTGTTGATACATGTACTTTAAAGTGTTTAATGGATTGATAGCTATCAAAATGACCAAACTGTACCAAAGAACTCAAGAGGAAGCACTTTCAGAACTGTTTTCTTGGCATTTTCTACAATTCCATCTGGAAGCCAAAAGAGAAAATAATTGTAGATTTTAATGGTATAAACATCACACAATTTGACATGGAGAAGTACTGTGCAAAAATATTGTTCTTTGGGGGTCTTTTCTTTCTCATTTTTTTTTTTGTTTTTAACCATACCACATTCAATAATACTATTTTCCTAAATATTACATCATGGCTTTTGTAAAAAGCTGGGCCTGTCATCCTTTTTTGTATTAATGACTGTCAAAGGCCTATTCAACTTAAAGTCTCTTGTTTCAATTGCCATCACATATAAATAGCTTTGTTTGTCTTAACTGTCTTTATAAAATTATGTTCCTCTGAGTACAAACTTACGAAATGTCATTGATCAGTCCTACTTGCATTCTGCTAAACTGGACGATGGTTATTTTCAAAGAACAGGGTAGCATAACTTCCAAGGCATTCATTTCTTGAACCTTAAGTTTTAAGGAGCTTTTATTTCATAAAAGGGGATAGAATTAAGATAATTCTTTATAAGAAAATGTACATATTTTATTCTTGGCCCCATAAAAATTAGTCTATGGTTCTTTGACAAAGGTATAGTCAATGACAGAACTGAGTGTGGGCCTGAGTGTTCATTACTCTTACGTTTGTAGTTTGGGATGCAGCCATGTGAGTGAGCCAGACCGTCCCCGGCGAGGATGACCTGGATTGTAGCAGTAAACTCACGTGCTCATGAAACCACTGACCCCATTATCAGGAGGTCGCCACTGCGGTGCCACAGTTGCAAAGGACTGAGTGTGGGCTCAGAGGTGATACCTGGTCACTCCTGAAATAACCCTAGTGAAGGGGAAGATTTGTTGGACAGCATTTGCTGGAGGGAAAGAAACACATGAAATGCTTTTAAGTTGCTAAAAATCCTACATGTAAGCAGATCATGGGGTGACAGCACTCAGCTCTTAGCCCATGCACTAAAATTAAGTTAAACACCTAAAATGACAATGGAACTATATTGATTGTTGTTACATCAATTTTACATGATATTCATTGCATTTAAAAACAACCTAATTGTGTATTGCCTCGTGAAAATAAAAGGATAAAGTAAGACTATACAGCATAAATGTAGTTATATTTTTATGGACTCATCAAGGAGTAAAATGTTCTGCTCTCGTAAATGATACAGGTAACTGAAATGTTATTCCTTTTTTTAAAATATTTTATTTATTTATTTTTAGAGGGGACAGGAAGGAGAAAGAGGGAGAGAAAAACATCAATGTGTGGTTGCCTCTCATGTGTTCCCCACTGGGGACCTGGCCTGCAACCCAGGCATGTGCCCTGACTGGGAATCAAACCGGCGACCCTTTGCTTCACAGGCCCATGCTCAGAACACTGAGCTACACCAACCAGGGCAAAATGTTCTTCCTTTAAAGAACAAAATAATTTGCAGCTGTTTGGTGGAAAATTTCTAAGTATTTATCACCTGCTTAGGGCTTAGCTAATGAGGTACACATAAACACACATAAGCTTCACAGGATGTTAAAATGTGAACATGCTTCATCACACTAAGCTGGCTCAGGAACTAGCATGAGTGGCCTTTCCTTGGAGTGTGTTAGAAATTCAGGGTCTCAGGCCCCGCCCCAGACCTGCTGGCCCAGACTCCAGGTTACCAAAGGCTTCAGAGCTTTACAATGGATTTTAAGGCATAAGACCTGCTAAACTAATATACTGATGCAGCCGAGGATTCTGGTGCTTTTTACCTTTTTTCAATCCTTGCCCAAGGACATGCTCATTGATTTTAGGGAGATGGGAAGCAGAGATGGGAAAGGAAGGAAAGAGAAAAGAAGAGAAACGTCAAGGTGAGAGAGAAGCATCAGTCGGTTGCCTCTCACACACTCCCTGATCGGGAATCAAACCTGTGACCTTTTGGTGCATGGGCTGGCACTCCAACCAACTGAGCCACACCAGTCAGGGCTTTTTACTTTATGCAACCACCAGCATCCTTGGCCGACAGTGTCTTTCTACTCCAAAGTGCCTCCTCTGCTATTCCAGTTGGTATCCACTGCCCACTTCCCTTTCTACACTGCTGAATTAAGAGGAACCCTGGGGGGACACAAATAATCCTGCGAAATCATGTTTCTAGTATCACACATTTCAAAGGAAAATGATGACACTATGAAGCACAGAGATGAGGCTCTCAGAAACAATTTACATGTTTTGGGACCTTTCTCTGAGCTGCTTGGGGCAACATGCAAGGGCTGAAGTGTCCTGAACGCGCTATAAAGGACAGACGACCTCCCGTGTGGTGTGCTTATGCATGTGAAATCAAACAAATAGTTAAAAGGTACTAGAGCCTCAAACTAAACTAACTCTTTAAAGCCTGCTTTAGGTACATGCAGCAATATTATACAAGAAATAACAATAGCCATTCATTTATGGTTACAGCAGTCTGTGACAAGCATGTCAAATCCTCAGCTGACGTGGCCAGTCAGCAGGAGGCTATGCTCTGCTACTGCGGACTCAGTTACAGTGGCAGAATCTCCTACTCAAAAGTGGGAAATCTTGCCCTGGCTAGTGTAGCTCAGTGGATTGAGCGCAGGTCTGCGAACCAGAGGATCGCGGTTCAATTCCCAGTCAGGGCACATGTCTGGGTTGCAGGCTAGTTCCCTGCAAGCCAGTTCCCTGCAGGCCAGTTCCCAGCAGGGGATGCACTAGAGGCAGCCATACATTGATGTTTCTCTCCCTCTCTCCTTCCCCTCTAAACATAAATAAATAAATATTATTAAAAAAGTGGGAAATCTCAATTTGTAATTTGTGAAATGTTAAACTAGAGAAGCTTTTAGAAGGTGAAGCAGCAGTTGTACTTACAGTGCTTTCAGATGCCCTATAACCAAGATGGTTTTCCACAATCGGAATGTTATTACAAATAGGAGTTGCTGCATATACTAAAGGTTTACCAAAAGAAAACTGATGATCACATTCAACTTGCAATATTTAATCACCTCCTTGACTACTTTGATATAAAAACCAGGACTCTGAATTGGCTTCTATAATTTAAATGATATGGCTGCTCTTTCTGGTAATAGATTTTTTCCTGCATTGTTAAGTAAACATTTTTCAATTCTAAAAATAGGGTGGGTTTGCTCTGGCGGGTATGGCTTAGTGAATTGAGTGGCAGCCTGCAAAATCAAAGGTCAGCCATTCGACTCCCAGACAATGCCTGGGTTGTGGGCCAGGCCCCTAGTTGGGGGAATGCGAGAGGCAGCTACCTGATCACCGTGTCTCTCATACATCAATGTTGCTCTCCCTTTCTTTCTCCCTCCTTTCCCCTCTCTCTAAAAATAAATAAGATCTTTAAAATAAAAAAGATAAAATGGGTGAATTTAATTTTGGAAAATCTTGTTTTCAGCTACTAAAAATATAATAAGTGGTGGAAATTTTGATATGATTCATATAATAAAACAGGCAATTTTAATGAATAATAACTTCAGCCTACACTGATAAGAAAAAAATCACCAAGTGCATGTTACAGTACCCAATAATGATGGTGCTTGGAGTGAAAGCTGAGTCATGACAGATGACATACGTTCATCAAGCTTTAATCACAAGCTTTAATCAAGCTTTATATATTTTTCACAAATCATCAAAGATCTGGTCTTCACATTAAGTGATTTGTTTACATAAAGGCATTTATGATTTCAGTTGTTAAACTATGACTTTTTACAGCATTTATTCAGTGCATCCTGATTCATTTCCAATATCGAAACCTATATTATATTTAATTCTGAATAAATAAACATCACTTTTAGTGGTAACATCTGTTTTAATGGTTTTTCTTACATAATTAAAAATTCTAATCTGGTAAAGAGGGCCTGCAGATATTTCAAACTTGTCTGGTATGTAAGTTCCTATTGTTAGAATTAAAATTGCTTTGAGATAGTGCTGTCTTTTTTTTTAGAAACATCAATGTGTGGTTGCCTCTCACACGCCCCACACTGGGGACCTGGCCTGCAACCCAAGCATGTGTCCTGGCTGGGAATTGAACCGGTGACCCTTTGGTTTGCAAGCCAGTGCTCAATCCACTGAGCCACACCAGCCAGGGCAGAGAGTGTTAAGTTTTATGAACACACTTTCCTTTCATTGTAAACTTCTCAAATGCAGTGGGTTGTCCAAAATAAAAGGTCATTCTAACCCGTAGCCAGTAAGTAGGTCTTTTACTCAGACTTACTGTGGGATTATTCCTTCTTCCAGTAGTGATGAAATACAGGGGTGGGCAAAACAAGGTTTACAGTTGTAATACAAATAAATAATATAGTAATTAATAATAGTACAAGAATAGCCCTGGCTGGTGTAGCTCAGTGGATTGAGTATGGGCCTGCAAACCATAGGATCGAGGTTCCAGTCAGGGCACATGCCTGGGTTGCAGGCCAGTTCCCAGCAGGGGACACACTAGAGGCAACCATACATTGATATTTCTCTCCCTCTCTCCTTCCCTTCCCTTCTAAAGATAAATAAACTCTTAAAAAATAATAGTACAACAATAAACTGTTCTGTGTACTCATGACTATAAAACTACATTTGTGCACCCTGTATATTGACTTACCTTGTTCTTTCCTGGTAACCATGATGAGCACTGACTATGCTTTCTGCTGGCTACAGGTAAAACTCAACAAGCTTAACCAGATCCTATAAGAATTAAGCCTGTTTTCCAAGAAGGGGCTGGAAAGAGGCATTCCAAGTCATGAAAACCAAAGACCTACAACCAAGATTGCTCTACAGCAAAGTTTTCATTTAGAATGGAAGGATAGATAAAGTGCTTCTCAGATAAGACCAAATTCAAGGAGTTCATCATCACCAAGCCCTTATTATATGAAATGTTAAAGGGACTTACCTAAGAAAAAGAAGATAAAAAAGATGAACAGTGAAAGGACAGCAAACTCACAGTTATCAACAACCACACCTAAAACAAAAGCAAACTAAGAGGACAGCTAGATCAGGAGTGAACCATAGAAATGAAGATCACGTGGAGGATTAGCAACAGGGGAGTGGGAGAAGGAGAAGGGGGGAGAAGGTACAGAAAATAAGTATCGTAGACAGTAGATAGAAAGTAGGGGGGAGAGTAAGAATAGTAGGGGAAATACAGAATCTAAAGAACTTGAGACACATGTTCATGAACTAAAGGGGGGGAATGGTGGGGGAGGGGTATGCAGGGTGGAGGGGAACGGAGGGGGGAAATAGAACAAATGTAATGGCATAATCAATAAAAAAAGAATTAAGCCTGTTTTCTTTTATAAAATATTTTATTTAGTTAGTTATAGAGAGAGGGGAAGGGAAGGAGAAAGACAGGAAGAGAAACATGTGTGAGAGAAACATTGATCGGTTGCCTCTCACACACTCCAGGCATGGGCCCGGACCACGAATCGAACCTGCAACCTTTCAGTTCACAGGCTGGCATTCAATCCACTGAGCCACACCAGCCAGGGCCAGCCTGTTTTCAATAAATCTAGAAAATCAAGTCTGTGAACTAGTAAGTAGAGATAATAGTTCAGTTCGTCATAATGGAGTATTTTTGTTGCTGCTAAAGTATGTACATCATAATCATCTTAATAGCCATTAAGCGCCTAATTTTCTCTGCCATTACTGCACTTAGTCACATCCTGATGGAATAAAATGGCCACGTGACTCGACAATTGTTAACTCTTTCGTGGAGATTACTGCAGGGCATAAATGTGATGTGAGAACTGAGCTAAATCACAGGCCCCTATCAAGTGAGTGTGGCACAAGAATATAATGCCACTAGCAAAATTAGTGTAAAGCATTCTTTGTTAATCTAATGAACAGAATGCATGCTTGTGAAATTAAGTCACGAAAATAGACACCACTCAAAACCTGGACAACACCGAAATAAGTTCTTAACAAGAACATGGATGCTGTTTTACTGTCCACATTACCGTGCTTTTCGTAAAGGGCTAAGCCAGTGAATTTCGTGGTCTCAGGCAGTGATCCTGCACTTGAGAAGCACCTAGAAGCTTTAAAAATGCTAAAGCCCAGCCCATCCCCAGAGGGACTAATTGGCTCAGAGTTTAGCTCTGAGCATAAGATTTTTTTCA